CATAAAATTTACATCCGCAGTGCGTGTTTTATCAGACTTATAAAAGATACTCGGCTTCGCCTATAGTACTTCAAACTTTTGAAGACCATGCATGTCAAGTCCACGTAATGTAAATAAATCCTTCGATGCTTTGTTTATATTTTGGACTGCTATATATTTGTAAAATAAGACATACTATTAACTAAATATCTAACAGTTTTCTGGTTCGCTATTGTAAATGAATATAAACTAGAGTACGTTTCAATTCAAAACAGTTCGAAAATGCAAAATTTGGGCAATATTTATTAGTGTAGGTCGCCCTTTGTTATGAACAGAACTGATGTGCAGTAGTGATGGGCGATACCGAGTACTCAGTATTCGATACCAGCGATACCACAAACAGCGGTATCGGTATCGATTACTGACGTGGTATCGTTCGATACTTGCACCCTTTTTTAAACTACTTATTTAATTTAACTTCTTGGTTGAATAGCCGACTTAATGAACCACTAAAGTAACTCTTAATATTCCAAATTCGGTGCGCCAAGTCAGGTATAGAGAATATTTATTACGTTTAGGGCTTTTGTTTTACTTATGGCTTTATTTAGGTTACATGGCAGTAATGCAAAATGTTTTTCCGCTGACCGGCAGGTATCGAAAGTAGCCGATACTAGCAATTTAAGTACTCACTTCCGGTATCGAAAATTGGAATTTTGTGTTTATTTTGGTATCGAAATAGGTATCGGTATCGACCGATACCGATCTTAAAAGTATCGGTATCGGTATCGAATTAAAAATCCTGGTATCGCCCATCACTAATGTGCAGAACGAACTTGACAAGGTCTTTAAACATTAAAAAAAATCCAAATATATATCAAAATCAAAAAATCAAAAAATCAAAAAATCAAAAAATCAAAAAATACAAAAATCAAAAAATCAAAAAATAAAAAAATAAAAAAATCAAAAAATCAAAAAATCAAAAAATACAAAAATACAAAAATCAAAAAATACAAAAATACAAAAATCAAAAAATCAAAAAATCAAAAAATCAAAAAATCAAAAAATCAAAAAATACAAAAATCAAAAAATCAAAAAATCAAAAAATCAAAAAATCAAAAAATCAAAAAATCAAAAAATCAAAAAATACAAAAATACAAAAATCCAAAAATCAAAAAATCAAAAAATCAAAAAATCAAAAAATCTAAAAATCTAAAAATCAAAAAATCAAAAAATCAAAAAATACAAAAACTGTTTTTGTGCTGTCGCGTCTGGGCCACCGTACAATACACATACAAATATAAAGCCGAATAAAATACTACCATTGGCATTGAATGTACAGTAATACTTGTACTATGTGCGACTGAAAGAACAATGTTCTGAATATTTGAAGCTATTACTAAAATACAGTCAGATAGATTGGGGTTTGGAATATCAAATACGTCTAAAATTTTACTAACTGTGGTCTAAATAAATGATAAATGAGCATGTATTTATTAATTTCTTCGAAATCACGAGTGTGCCAATAGTGGAAGCCGTATCGACGACGAAATTGTCAGCAGTTTATACAGTTAATAGTACAACGTTTAATGTACGATATATATTTATCATAATTATTCGTACATATTTGGGTATCTTTTGTATGCCTTCGCTTGCTGACTTGCTCACTAATGAGAATAATCCGTGAAGCCACGACGACCTCAAAATGTAGTACTAGATTTATGTCAATCCGAAGACGAAGTTCAGAATACTGTTATAGTATTGAATTTAAGCGATAGATTCAAGTCATTTATGATATACTTTTTTGCTGTGATGCTTTGCTATTGCTTTTGGTTTCCATTTCTAGTGTTATTTGTTCGATAGTCTTATAATTAATATATAATATTAAAATGAATAAAGTTCAAATTCTTCAAAATGCTGTTGTTGACATTTGCTATTTTTAGTAATTTTGTCAACGAGTGTAAGCCAATCAGAAGCCTGCGTTTCTATACGAACGCCACTACCAAGAAAACCTATAGTTCCGTGCAGGCCCTCTATTCTTCGCGCCGCCCGCAACCCAGGGCCTGTTCGCAGGCTAGGAGGGGGGTGGAACACCTCCAATCGACAGGTAGTCGGCAAATTATAGAATCCAGTCCGACAAATTGTTTTCGTCCTATAACTAAAATTTGGAGAAACTGACAAAAATATGAACGAAAAATTGGACGAACAATGGTACGATAACCGAAAATGTAATGTCCGGAAACTTTTTTGATGTTTAGCCGCACATTAATTGTCTCCCTTCCCCCACTCGCCAACAATTTTGGGAAAAAATATTAATTAGTGGTTGAGATGAGTCGGCAAAAAGTCACTTACA